TGAAGAAATTCGTAAATGATACAAAGAATCGTCTGCATGAATCCAGTTATTTAAGATTTCTGGTTTCTCATTGCTTGGTGGTGATTCCAGTTGTCTGTCATCCGCTTTCATTCAACATACACCTGACCGACTGCATGGATCAGTTCTGTGCAGCCTATTGTTCAATGTCTGCAAACCACACACACACACACACACACACACACACTCACACTCACACACACACTCACACATAATACAAGTCTTAGCAAATTTTAAAATATTGAAAAAACACCACTTGCCTCTTCTAACCGCAACAGTATGAAACTTGGGAAATTAGTAACAGGAGGAAAATTGGAAAATTCACACAAAAACATGGAAATTAAACAATACATTCCTGAACAACCAATGAGCCAAGGAAGACGTCAGAGGGTAATAGAAAAATATTTTGAAACAGACAATGGAAACACCACATACAAAAACGTATGGGATGCAGTAAAGGTAATTTTAAGAGCGACAGTTATAGCGATAAATGCTTACATTAAGAAAGAAGAAAGATCTCAAATAACGACTTAACTTTACAATTCAAGGAACCAAGAAAGAAAAAACAAAAAAAAACAAAAAAAAAAACCAGGAAGCCCAAACTTAGTGGAGGAAAGAAATAACAAAGAGCAGAGTGGAAATAGAGATCAGAAAAACAATGGAAAAGATCAACAAAACAGAGAGCTGTTTTTTTGAAAAGATAAACAAAATCGATAAAACTTTAGCTAGACTAATTTTAAAAACACAGAGAAGACTCGAAATCAGAAATGAAAGAGGAGATGTTACGATCGATACCACAGAAATACAAAGGATCGTAAGAGACTATGAACGATTTAATTAGACACTAACACGTGGATAAACTAGATAAAATGGATAAAATTTCTTCAACCTAAAGAAACAGAAAATCTGAACAGACCAAGAATGAGTAAGGAAATTAAATCAGTGATCAGAAATCTTCCAACGAAGTAAAAACCTATACCATATGGTTTTATGGGTGAATTCTACCAAACATCTAAAGAAGAATTACTACC